TAAAATTAATTATAACAAAAAACAGAGTTCCTACGAACGTATAGTTTGTTTTAGAATGGAAAAAAATAACCTCTCAAACAAATTACTTTGCACTTTGTTCTTTTTTCGTGCCCGAAGGTCATATCGAAGTCGGAAAACCTTACAAATCCAAAATTTTTTTTTCATTGAGCGTACATCCTGATAGCAGGTAAAATTTGAGAACGTTTCAGTACATTCTACCAGCACTTAATGTACAGGGTGTCCCAAAGTTCGCGTGTCAGGCCCATAGCAGACAAACGAAAAATCACAGTAAAAATCTGTTTAGATGGCGTGAATAAGGACTCGCTAAGGTCCGTTTTGCACTCGAAAAATATTTTTTTCAAATACGGAAAATAAAAAAAAATGAAAAAAAAAGAAGAAAAAGAAAAAAAGCTTTTTTTTCCACGAACGTACACATTTTTTGTGATGTGAAGTTTTTCACTATCTCATCTGTTTAAAAAGTTGCAATAACAAACATTATACAAAAATGTATTCTATTCTATTGGAACCAGTCATGACTTAATCAACATTACTGTGAAAAACAATGGCTATAACTCCTGTCACAAATTTGTTTACATATTAGTTGCTGTGTTCTTAAAAAAGATCGGTCCACGAGGAAAGAGAACAATACACGTAATGACGGTAAAATAGGGTAACCAAATATAGAAAATATTGAACAATTTTAATGGTAACTAATAAATACAGGGTGTCCCGAAATTCATGGAACAAAATTTGGTCATAAATTCTTAAGACAAATTCGGACTTCAGGAGGCTGTAACTCCGAAAGAGGGGGCCATTTGGCAAAAATAAAAAATACGGGTCCCCTAAATTTGTCTTAAGAAGCCAAATTTTACCAAATTTTGTTGCATGAATTTCGGGACACCCTGTATAACAATAACAATAATAAAACACAAAACAGAATATAAAATTATGATTATTACTATAAAAAAATTTCGATATACATGCCTCCTACTTCTAAGCATTTATCCAAATCTTTTCCTAACTTCCCTTGTAGCATTAAAAAAAGTTTCTCTTGAAAGATTCTCACAAACACGTCCAATCTTTTGCTTTAATAAATGCTCCAAACTTTTCGTGAGTGTCTTATGTACTTGATTTTTTAATGTTCCCCATAAAAAGTGGTCTAGGGGCGTTAAGTCTGGAGACATTGAAGCCCATTCTACAGGCCCATTAATTCCAATTCATTTAGTTCCGAAAGTATTTTTTAAATAGTCGGTAACTCTTTTAGCTTTATGTGGAGGAGAACCATCGTGTTTAAGTCACATGTTCAACGTGAGCTGCAGCGACACACAGTGCTGGGAGCCCTCAAATGCATTCCAATAATGCCACACCAAACATTTATTCCATAATGGCCCTGATTTTGTAGGGGATTAACATAGTGTTGATTTTCATTGGCCCAGTAACGTTCGTTTCTTTTATTTGGCTTGCCATTACTTATAAAACTACTCTCATCAGTCCAAAGAATGCGTTATAAGAGTCTATCATCTATTTCCAAATTAACCATTATTTGGGCTACATTAAGTCTTTTTTCAGCACGTATATGTCAAGATAAGTGCTACAAGTTATTTAGCCTCTAGTCATGGTAACCATTGGAGCTCAAAATTATTTGCACAGAGCTTCTTTTTAAATTTATTGCAAAAGTGACCTGTCGTATAGAATTTCTAGGATTTTCCTCAAAATAACGAGCGTTCAAATAAAAACGTGGTCAAGTTGGTTCTGAAAATTTGGACGTAGGGCGTAGTGTATAGCAAATGAACTTAAACGTCATCTGTCAAAGCACTATATCGCTGCTAGCAATATGAATATTTTCGTTTTAAAAAGCGTTTAAAATGGTGTTTTCTCAAGAACAAAAAGTGTTTATCATAGAGTCCTACTTTAGAAATGGACGCAAGATTGATGGAATATGGAAGTATTCTATTGAGGAATGTTTCATAGAATTTCAAAATCAATTTCCCGGCGTTGTTGAGTACAAAATTTTTCAAAGTGCAGTTCAGCGTTGTGTTAATGTTTTTCGTGAAACGGGCAGTGTAACAAGAAAAGAAGGAAGCGGCCGACCTAAAAAGCGGACTGAAGAATTAAAAGAAAATGTCCAACAAATAATGGAAAATGCGCCAAGAACTTCTGTACGTGTTTTATCACAAATGGTGGGAGTATCAGTCGGTACCTGCCACACAGTGTTAAAAAAAGATTTGCGTTTGTTCTCCTATCGTTTAACTTGTCAGCAAGAACTTCATGAAGTTGATTTTCCGCGACGGGCTGTATTTTGTGAATGGTTTTTAAACAACTACGGTGAACTTCATAATATCACCTTTTTTTCTGATGAAGCCTGGTTTCATTTAAGTGGTTACGTAAACTCACAGAATATGAGAATGTGGTCTTCTGAAAAACCAGATAACTTTTTTGTCGAGGGCCCTCTACACGCTCAAAAAATTGGAGTTTGGTGTGCTCTCAATCGAAGGAGGATTTATGGACCTATTTTTTTTAATGGTACTCTTACTGCGCAAAGGTATAGAGAAGAAATTATCGCTCCTTTTGTTAACCAGCTGGAAGAAAACGAAATTACAAACTTTTACTTTCAACAAGATGGCGCAAGGGCACATACGGCAGGCGAGACGATGAATATGTTGAGGGAAGTTTTCCAAAATCGACTAATAAGTCTCAATGCTGAACATGAATTTCCACCGAGGTCATGTGATATTACGCCGTGTGATTTCTTTTTGTGGCCTTACCTTAAAAACACTATTTTTGAACTGCCTATTCCTGATTTAAACCATCTGCAGGCTCGACTTATAGACAAGATTCGTGAAATTAACAATACCCCGAGCATCTTAGAAAATGTCTTTAATTCTTTGAGGAACAGGTGTGAAAAGTGCTTGGAACAAGGAGGGGGACACTTTCAGCAGCTGCTTTAATTTATTGTTATAACAAGGAGGGGGACACTTTCCGCAGCTCCTTTAATTGTTTGTTATTGTTATCACGATTATTCTTTAAAATAAAGTTATATAGTCATTAACGTTATTGAAACTGACAGCTGCTATACAGCTCGTTGAGAAATGAGGTTAAGTTGGTCGCTATAAGCTACTCCCTACGTCCAATGTGTCAGAGCCAACTTCGACCACGTTTTTATTTGAATGCTCGTTACTTCAAACGGCTATAACTTTGTCAACTTAAATGGAACACCCTGAATTTTTGTACTCTGTCGTATGCATATTGAAATTTCCTTTCAAGCCATATAAGCATTGTTAGGGTTGCCGACTACTTTTAGAGATATTTGCAATTCTCTATTTTTTTTGGCAGTTTTTCTTGTATCGGACCTGTTATCAAATTGGCTATGACCAGAAACACTCCAAAAACAATTGAAATAACTTGACATTTGTCATTCTTCAAGTTAGTTGTCAAATTATTGTTGTGCCTGTAATAGATTTTACCGAAAATTTAAATAAAAATGCCTGGGGATCGTTTAAATTATACTAATGAGGGTTATTTTAATTCGTTTGTTATTTATCGAGAATGTGACAAAGTTATTTGAAAAACATGTAGAGAATTTGTTGCTCGATATCCAGAAAAACGAAGACCTTCACGAAATACATGAAGCCAATTAGTGGACAATCTTAAAAGCTGACGATGTGTAAAGTTTAAGAATTAAAAATACTTGTTTATGATGAAAATACGGAAATAGATATATAACGTTTTTATTTGAACGCTCGTTATTTAATAGCCTATAGCCTAGGTAATATGGTTACACACTGATTTTAAAATTCCTTTCCCTTTTCTTGACGAAAATGCATTTTCGTTAGCACGCAAAATTCGTTCTAATCTGGAAAATATTTTTGGGTTAACAGCTTGACGCTCTGGATATCTCTCATGATATAAGTTAACAGCTCTTCTGGCATTTTTTTGACATTCACCATAAATTAAAATCATGTCAACTTTTACATTATTTGTGAATATTTTTTAATTTTTAGCAATCACTTACTAGTTTTTTTATCATGCAAGAAATAGCGTTTGACAGAAACTAATATGTAAACAGACTTGTGACAGCAATTTCAGCCGTTGTTTTCACAGCAATGTTGATTAAATCACGACTAATTCCAGTACATTTTTGTATAGTGTTTGTTATTGTAACTTTTTAAGGAGAACAGATAGAGAAAAAATTTCTGCACAAAAAAATGTTTATAAAAAATAGATAATTTTTTTTATCATAAAAATAGGTATATTTGTGGAAAAAAGTTGATGACTTCATTTTTTTTATTTTCCAAATTTTGAGAAAAATGTTTTTCAAATGCAAAATGGACCGATTCACGCTATCTAAACAGATTTTTTACTGTCGTTTTTCGTTTGTCTGTCATGGGCCCGAGACGCGAACTTTAGGTCACCCTGTACAACACAAATGTGAATATTACAAAACTGGTTTTACCTGTATTCAATGCAAGCTTGACTGTCTGAGCAGTGGCTGTTGTCTGTACATTCTCCCTTGAAGCAGGCCTTCAGGGGGTCTCCTATGTATCCGAAAGGACAGGTACATACGGGACGTTCCTTGTTGGTCCTGTCGAATCCTGGCTCGCAGTGAGCATTGGCACCGCATGGGTTGGGCTCGCAGAGGTCTTCTGCAACACATCAGAGTTATAAAAAAAATAATAATAACAATTGATTTGAACAGAAATCACGGTACTAGATGTGTGGATACTTGTATCGTGGCATCGGTATTGAATACTAGAGATGTTTTAAAATCTTATGAGCTTTGATCTTCATATGTGCAGAAACNTATTTGTGGAAAAAAGTTGATGACTTCATTTTTTTTATTTTCCAAATTTTGAGAAAAATGTTTTTCAAATGCAAAATGGACCGATTCACGCTATCTAAACAGATTTTTTACTGTCGTTTTTCGTTTGTCTGTCATGGGCCCGAGACGCGAACTTTAGGTCACCCTGTACAACACAAATGTGAATATTACAAAACTGGTTTTACCTGTATTCAATGCAAGCTTGACTGTCTGAGCAGTGGCTGTTGTCTGTACATTCTCCCTTGAAGCAGGCCTTCAGGGGGTCTCCTATGTATCCGAAAGGACAGGTACATACGGGACGTTCCTTGTTGGTCCTGTCGAATCCTGGCTCGCAGTGAGCATTGGCACCGCATGGGTTGGGCTCGCAGAGGTCTTCTGCAACACATCAGAGTTATAAAAAAAATAATAATAACAATTGATTTGAACAGAAATCACGGTACTAGATGTGTGGATACTTGTATCGTGGCGTCGGTATTGAATACTACTACTTATTTTATTTATAGTACAGTTATTGAAGCTTTTCACCTCCGAATTCTTTGAAACCGAACCGATCGACTTGAAATTTGACAGAAAGTTAGAGAAAAGGTCAATGAACATTAGTGACATAGCGCCGATTGACGCTTCCACCCTGTTGGGGGTTGACAACCCTTCTCGGGGTCTTTTTTAAAAAATAATGCTGGAAGTCGATAGAGAATCAAATTTTGAGCAAAAAATATTCGGAGAATTTTTTCGAGAAATCAATAGTTTTTTAGTTATTCACGATTGAAAACTTGGAATTTTGAGTGAAAAAAAAAACACTTTCAAAGTATTTTTCGCGAAATTACGCATTTTATTAAAAAAAGTGTAATGAACAAAAATGTAGCTTATAAATAAAGAAAATGTGTTTTAAAAAGTGTACGTCCTAAACAAAGCGAAATGTCGTTAGTGGAAGGGGACTCGAATTGATCTATTCCACGTCAAATAATAGAAAAAGGATTAATTTTACGTGTATAATGCTCCAGGAGTTTTTTGTAGTACTCAAAAAGACCTTCAAAATGAGCACTCATAAAAGTTAATTAGAGTAAAATTGAAGGAGTTATCGTCAAAAACAGATTGTACATATTTTTTAAGGAAAAATGAGCAGTAAACTCTGTACCATTTCCATCAGAATTAAAATTAGTCGTAGACCCTTTACAATTAGTTTTGTTTTAGTGTTTTTCATACGATCCTGAAGTTAGACCGGTTTAGAATGCGTATTTTTTTAATAATGTACGGTAAAATTTGAAAACGTATTTTTCATTATTCAAAAAAAATTGCCTTATTTATATAATAACTCTGAAACTAGAAAGATAGGTAAAAAATGATAGACAACAAAAATGTAGCTTTTTTTCAACAAATATTTTGCTTTTTTTTATTCCTATAGCATAAAAAGTAAAGGAGTTATCGCCGCATGAAGTATCCATTTTAGTGAAAAAACGACCTGTCTCGAGCCCTTCGATCCTTTCCCTTTAAAAAACGAAGGACTTAAAAGGTTTTATATGCAAACGATCTTACAGCTCTTGAAATTATTTTTAAAATGCTTTTTTGTAGGATACCATAGCTTCAAAATTAACCGAGTTATGGTAAAAAAACCAATGACATTTTTTCGGAGTAAAATAGGCATTCTCATTTTTGGAGCAAAATGTTGGTAAAAGGGTAGTTTATAGGAGTTGGCAAAAGTAAAATATTCTTTCATAAACAATATAAGGGAATTTTTATTTTAAATTATTGCATAATTATATCATTCCAAGATTTAGAACGTAGTTTTTTATAATTTTTTTAGCACAGGGGTGATTTATAAGGGTTGAAAAGTGTTGTGAGATACAAATTCTTTCATAAGCAATGAGGGAATTTTTATTTTAAATAATTGCACCGCTAAAGCAATCCAAGCTTTTAAAAAGTAATTTTTTAACATATTTGTCAATACAGGGAGGGGTGGTTTTTAGGGGTTGAAAGGGAAAATTTTTTTTATTAGCTATAAGGTAACTTTTATTTTAAATATTTGCAGGATTTAATCATTCCAAATCTTTAAAAAGTAATTTTTTATCATTATTTTTTGCATAGGGGTAGTTTTTAAGGGTTAAATAAAGGGTCGAAAAGATCAAATATATCATAAAACATGTTCGAGAACATGGAACATTATTTAATCTTTGTGCTTGAACAAGATTTTTATCAATAAAATGCTTAGAACTTAATTTTTTCAATTTTTTTCACTTAGGGGTAGTTTTTACCCCTAAAAAATAAAAAACGTCAATCGGGCTTATGTCACTTTTAAAGTTGAGCCTAAGATGAGCCTTATTCTAAATTTTCATGCAAATCCAGGCAGTTTCAAAGAATTCGCAGCTTACAGCTGATTTTCAGCTTCAATGACTGTACTATTAGGGCTCACTTTCAATGTTACAGGGAAAAGTATGTCGACAAACGGGTCATTTTTCGTTCTTTTTTGTATGTTTGTTGTTCCCCTGAATTTAGCAATGGTTTTTTGGAATAGACAAACTCGGATTCTTATGCTACAGAATATTTGGGATTTTTCTGTACCACAAAACGCCCAAGCCTTACTACTTTTACTGCTCTACCGCCCGGACTACGTATTTTTACTTCACTTACTCGGCTCGAAGGGTCTGCAACGCACGAAGGGATCACCGGTCATATCCTTCGGACAGGAGCAGACGGGTGTGAGTCCCCTAAGCTCGCAGTTGGCGCCGACGCCGCATGCGCCCTCGCACGGGCTCTTGCAGATGCCGTAGAAGCAGGCCGGTTTGTGACTGGGGCAGTCGACGTCTCCGTAACACTCGGGCTTGCAGGAAGAGTACGGGTTGCCGAAGTAATTCTGAAAAGTATAAAGTTGTTTTAACACATCATTTTAGTAAAGAGATTAATTGTTTTTATTTGACCAATTATTTTGTTCTGGCGAAACGACCCACTCTTTATATACACAGTGACTCGAATGAGCCTAGATCGTACCTTGGGGCACTTGCACACGGCCCTGTGGTTGCTGATGGTCTCGCACTCGGCGCTGGTGCCGCACTGGGTCAGGCAGGGGTTCTGGCACTTGAATTCGATACATGCCAGGGTGGGCCCGCATTCGGAATCGCTATCGCACTCGTGTCTGCAGCCTGCCAAGGGGGAACCGTGGTATCCGGGGAGGCAGGTACAGGTGGGCACTTCGTTCCTGACCTCGCAGTTGGTGTTGGGGCCGCAGGGACTGGGGTGACATAATTCCTCTGGAAGAGAGTCGCAGTTTTACTTTATCGTAATTGAAATAAATTCAGAACCTATAACAATGAAGTTAAAAATAATGGTTTTTCGATATTAGAAATCTATATACGCAAAAGATATCCAATAATAGTCTTGTATGTGTTTATAGGCTATTGAATATGAGATTTTAAAAGGAACTATGACGTTCAAGATATTTTATTGCATCAAAGGGTCATTTTACATGAAAAAACCGCGGGGTGCTATTAAATCAGAGGGTGGAAATTGGAGATAGGGGTGAAAATGCACTCCTTTCAGTTTTTTAATTGTAGCTCGAAAACGAAGCAAAATTTCGATATACTTCATAGGAAAAATTATTTAGAGAATTGAATTTCCCATGGAAATAGCTTATTTAAAAAATTTAAAAGGAAAATTTTATACAAAAAAAAATCGTTAATAAACAATCTGAAAAAAGCAAAAAATTCGATTTTCTGATTTTTTTTTACTTTTTTGCCTTTTTTGAGTAAAGATGAGTATAGGCATTGCTTCATAGAAAAAAAAGTAGATAAAATTTCCTTCAAAACAGGAGGTTGTAAAGTATTTTTGGATGAAAATTGACTGATATTTGGCCGCTCAAACTTAACCAATTTTTCCATTTTCGTCGCGTTTGCCCTTATACGTTTTAATTCTCATTTTTTGCAAAAAAGGAAGGAAATAAGACGTTCAAGGATTTTGATCACATGACTTGTTCGAAGGGTAATTAAAAATGAAAAAACCGCGAGGTGCTATTAAATTAGAGGGTTGAAATTGAAGATAGAAAATGCACTTTTGCAGTTTTTTAAATATAGCACGAAAACGAAGCAAAATTTCGGAATAGTTCATAGGAAAAATTTTGTAGAGAATTGAATTTCTCATCGAAATGGCTTATTTAAAAAATGTAGATGGAAAATTTTAAGCAAAAAATCGTTAATAAACAATTTTAAACAAAGCAAAAAATAAGATTTTTAATTTATTTTTTACTTTTTTAATAAAATAATTGAATAAAAACTTGAGAATTTAAGTACAATAAAGTTTATTAATAATGTATATACAGTGTGTCCACGGATGGAGTTGACAAGAGGAGAAACTCTTTTGTTTTTGACTGTATCGAAAAGTGTCACTCTCTATAAAAAGTTCTGCCCCTCGAAAAAATGAGACTGCCATACAAACATCTGAGATTGGATGTACAGGGTGTTCATAAATTAAAAAAACACGAACATACTCAAGAGAGAAGTACCATTATTTATTATTTTACACATTTTTATAAAACAAATATATAACCTCAAATAATGTCAATGTCAAAAATTTCAATTTTTGAGGTGGGAAGTAGCAGTATAGAGTAAAAGTCAGAATTGAAATTTTGATTTTAAAATTTGTATTAGGACATTATTTTTTTCCATGAAGCAATGCCGATACCTACCTTTACTCAAAAAAAAACTAGAGGCAAAAAAGTAAAAAAAATCAGAAAATCGAATTTTTTGGTTTTTTGTTTCAGATTGTTTATTAAGTAACGATTTTTTCGTATAAAATTTTTCTTTTAAATTTTTTAAATAAGTAATTTCCATGGGAAATTCATTTCTCTAAATATTTTCCCCTGTGAACTATAGGGAAATTTTGCTTCGTTTTCGAGCTACAATTAAAAAACTGAAAGGGGTGCATTTTCACCCCTATCTCCAATTTCCAGCCTCTAATTTAAATAGCACTCGGCGGTTTTTTTTATCTAAGATTACCCATTCAACAATTCATGCAATAAAATTACTTGAACGTCATAACCCTGTTTTTTTTGGATATATTCAATAGCCTATTATGTCACTAAATTTAAATGGAGGGTTTTGGATTTAGTATTATCGTCATAGTTGTAAATCATTTCGTGAAGGAGTCTCTCTAATCAATGGGGGACAGACATCATCTTAGTTTTAATTTAGTAGATAAGCGTTCTAATTTTACTAAGGCAGATTTTCCAGTGCTACACAATTATTTGTTTTTGATTGGTAATTTTTAGAATCCTACTTTGATGTCGAAGCTTAAACACTTCATAATCATGATTAAAACGGAAATTTTTTTTTTTAATTTTTTCTCACATTTTTACCGCAAATAACGTTTAAATTGAGGAAAAAAAAAGTTTTTTTGGAAAACCTTCCGGCCATTGAAGAAAACAAAATCCAATTATTTCCAGCATGATTCGGCTTTTTCGTCCTATGCTTCTGTTCATCAACTTTTAATTAAATTAAAATTGAAGTTGATGACCCAAACCAGATTTCGACCCAGATTCATACCGTTTTTTTGAGACAAATTTCTAATTAATTTTTGTGCGGTCTCTAATCACTTAAAAAACATTTTTTGTTTTCAAAACTACCTTTTTTGTTCTCTGAAAAAAAATTCAAAATTTTATGCTCAAAAAACGTGAGCTCCTAAAAAATTTCGACCGAAAGATTTAAAAACTAGAATCTTAGAGCTTCAAAATGCTTTTTTTAATTTGCGATACGACCATTTTTCACTTAAATACAATCTGTCAAAAATCACGGAAAAATTTGGAAAATTCTCTTGACCCTTTAATATTTTGCATTAGTTTATTATTATTATCATTTTCTAGGATACTATTTTTTGAATTAGTTTAATACCTAAAAAATATTACTAAATTGCCAGCTACTTCCGGTGTAACCGGAAGTACTACGTTGGATGCATTATTTTCATTGAAGAGAGCATATCTGAGAACCCACGGAAAATCTTATATCTTTAAAATAGGCCACTTACCGAGAAGCACCCTGTGTATTTATAAAAAAGTCGTCTTTTTTTTGGTATCTTTCGAAGAAACCCACCTGGATTGAACCTTCGGCAGGAAGTGAAAGGCTCCCCGGTGTACCCCGGGGGACAGGAACAGACGGGGACGTGATTCCTGGCGTCGCAGTTGGCGTTGGCGCCGCAGGAGCCCGCGCAAACGTCCAGACACTTGCCTGCTTGACAAGTTTGGTGGCCTCTGCACTCGGTGTTGTCCAAACATTCAGCCCTGGCGACGACAGAAAGGTTATAAACTGACAGATCTCTTTTTTTACCGCACTAGTTGTTTCCATTGCGGCTTCTTTACCTTGTGCAGACTGAGAGAGGATCTCCAGTGTATCCCCTAAGGCAGGAACATACAGGGCGTCCGCCTATGATGGAGCACTTGGCGTTCTGGCCACACGTGCTGCTGGTGCACGTGCAAGCCGTGCAGGTGATGTCGTACGGGTTGCTGTAGGCCGCTAAAAATTGTATCAAGTTAGAAACTGAGAAATTTTTACAAACGCATCGTTAGATGTATTCAAAAATTCTGGTATCCTCCCAATAGTCCAGGGAACCAAGGGTTCACCCTTCGAATTCTTTCGGATAGAACCAATTGACGTGAAACTTGACTGTAAGCAGATAATAGCTCAAGAAACAAAAGTTATATAGTGCCGATGAGCGCTTTTGCCCAGGGGGTGGAAAATAAAATATTGAAAATACCCCCAGGAATCGATAAAGCAATTAATTTTAAGCAAAAAGGATCTTATGAACATTTTTCGATAAGTCGATATTTTCTGAGTGAAAATGTACATTTCTTTGTTTTCAGTAGTTTTTCTCGAATAACTCGGTAAATAGACATTCTGTGAAAAGAAAACTTCACGAAAAAATTAAGCTTATAAAAAGAAAAAAAATGAGTTTTTATTTCATTTATGTTTTGTAGGTGCAATAGGTGCTGAGATACGGCTGATTGAAGATAATTTCATGTCCGCCAGAAATTAAATTGAAAGCATTTAACGTAAAATAACTAAAAAACATTATATTTTTCAAGAAAAATGCACATAAAGTTTTTTAAAGTACTTTAAAAAATCTTTAAAATGAACTTGACTTTAAGTCATTAGCATAAAAATTAGCAGAGTTATGATCAAAATAAAACTGTTAATTCGCTTTTTCGGAAAAAAATCAGTACAAAAACTGATGAATTTCTCACGAGATTTAAAATTAAAGGTAATCCTTCTACAATCTACATTTTTTATGTGCTAACAAAGTATTATACAAGTTTAAGCGGTTTAGAATGCATATTTTTGAAAATATTACGTTTTGATTGAGTTTTTTTTTAATGTCAAAAAGAAGTAACATATTTTTGAAAATAACTTTAAAAACAAAAAAGATACGAAAAATATTCAAGAGTACAAAAGTTTGGATTGTTTTTCACAAAATATTTTGTGTTTTTTTTTAATTGTGTAGGATAAAAATTAACTAAGATGTCGCTGCTAGAAGTTTGCAGTTGAAGGCGAAGGTCATGTTTTTCAAACCCTTTAACCTAAAAAATCTCAAAAATATGGCCTTAAAAAATATTCAGTTTTACAGTACTTTTAGCTGTCGAAATTTTCCGAAAAATCGTTTTTGGATCGTCTTAATAGCTTTAAAATTAAGGAAGTTGTCGTTAAAATGCCAACAGTACCTTACCGCTCCAATTTTTGGAACATATCAATATTTTGGTTATCCACAACTTTGGATCATTCATAGATATACATGAAATAATATTTGATAATTTGCATGAAAAAAATATTGAGAAATCATGATTTTGAATATTGCATAAATTAAAGTAAATCGCGAGAAAGTCATTATCAAAAAAAAATTATAATTCATTTTAAATAATTTAAAACCCTTTTTTTATATTTTGTCATTGGGGGTCGTTTTTAAGGGTTAAAACAATGCGATAAATTATAAATTGTATTATAAACAGGTAAAAGAATTTAATTTATCCTGTTTGTACTATCAAATTATTTGAAACTGTTAAAACTATTTTTTTAAAATATTTTGTTATTAGTTTTTTAAGGGTTTAAATATTGTAATAAACTATTAATTATATTTTTATCATTAAGGGTGGTTTTTAAGGGTTGAAACTTTATAAAAATAACGTAAATTATAACCCACAATATAACAATATTTATTCTATACTTATATTAAGATACGATTTAGTCTATATAAGTTATATAACACCTATTTTTATATTTATTCAGTTTTTTAGCATAAGGGGTAGTTTTCATCTCCTAAAAATAAGAAGCGCATATCAAGCATATATGACTTTTCATCTACAGGGTGAAATAAGCTTAATTCCAAATTTTCATAAAAATTGGGTCAATCCGAAAGTATTCGGAGGTTTTACCATATTTTTTTTTTCGTTCCCTGGACTATAATGAGACTTGGTACTAAAAGTAATTTCAGAAAATTATGCATTATAATTTTAAAAACTAATTAGTAAAAACTTAAACTGATGACATTGTGGGGAACAACTACTGTGCGGACTAATGTCCNTGGGTTAATTTCAAACAGTTTTTCTTATGTGAGCATAGCTCCGATTCGTTTTTGTTTAGAAGTTACAAACACCTAAAAAATATAATTTCATATTTCAATCGAGGTAGCCTGATAATTAAAAATGATGGTTGCTATAACAATAATTATTATTTGTGTCATTTTGATTGTGTGTTTTGGAAAATAAAAAAGCTTGCGCGTAATTGACCTTTATTCAAAGGTACACCCTGCATATAAACTTATTTGTTTTTCTAATCCCAATCATCTATTTACATAGCTTTGATAAAATTTGCATAATTTTACAATTTATAAAGAACATCTTTCGACATCGCGTCTTATTTGTTATATTTTTACTGATAAATATAGTCACACTACGTTTATAGTTACATAACACTTGAAGATCTCTTTCAAAACACTCCTCCACACTTTTTTTTGCGCAAAATAATCTATCGACGCGCCCACTAACTATTTAAAGGAATATTAACGATATATTTTAATTACCCACGCATCTAGACTACATAATAATAAATAATATGGATGGGTATCCAGAAAAAAAAATCGACTAGTCGCGCATCTGTTCATAGCAACTGCTTTGAATCGTTTATATGCAAAAACTATAAATTTTCCATTGGAAATCGATAGGACTTAGATGTGGCGATCTAATCTCCCGGAGCAAATAACTTACAACGCGATTTAATGTGTTAAAACATCAACATTGGTTATTCCACCACAGGTTTGTTATTTTTGCGGTTTAAGAACCTCGAGAGCTCAGTCCAGATTGGACGGTGGTCCTTCCATACATGTCCGTGACGTAGACGTTGTTGTTGTTGGAATAGTACCTGTATGGGTGGTCTACGTACGGATTGGTGTAGTATGTCTTTTGTTCTGAGGGAGTGTAAGTGTAGTAGCGAGGGTAGCCTGAGCCGGTAAGCACCCTGTACTGTCGGTAGGTCTCACCTAGCGCCGTCGAGCACAGCTGAACGAGGAGGAGGGCGGAGAAAAGAGCGACGGTCCTCATCTGAAAAAAGGGAAAATTTTAGATTATACAGACCAACAAAATTTAACTTTTTTTTGGAAGCAACTTGAATATATATTTCCAAAGGATTTAGGTGCGCTGAATCCGAATCTGGCAGCAGAATTGCTCTATCACGTCAGGTTCTTGAGATATCCTAACCTAAAAGTGAAAAAAACACTGTTCATCGTCATATTTGAGGTTATGTAGTAATGCCATCTACTCTTTTTCAAAAAACTAATACATTGAATCAAAAAGTACAAGGCTCCCTCATTCGATTGCCGCTGAGTTTGCTCAAATATCTTTTTTTTTTTTCGTTGAGATATCACATGTTGAAATTTTTAAGTTTCTCAGTTTCTTAATATGCGAAAATCTATAAGGATCTCTTAGACATCAAGCAGTCGATTGCATTCATACCCATACGGTATGTGGGTTAGGGCTTGGGGTTTGTAAGCTTGGAGTTTGTAGATTCGGATTTTGTGGGAATGGGGTTTGTGGGTTTGGGGTTTGTGGGTTTGTGGATTTGGAGTTTGAGTTCGTATGTATTGAAGGTTTCTGAGTGTGAAGTTTCTGAACTGCAATCAACTGTTTGACGTCTAAAGGATCCTTAGTAGATTTTCGCATATTAAGAATCTGATAAGCTTAGAAATTTCAACATGTGATATCTCAACGAAAAAAAAAGATATTTGAGCAAACTCAACGGCATTCGAAAGAGGGAGCCTTGTACTTTTTGATTCAATGTATTAGTTTTTTAAAAAGAGTAGATGGCATTACTAGATAACCTCAAATATGACGAAAAACAGTGTTTTTTGCATTTTTAGGTTAGGATACCAAAAACCTGACGTGATAGAGCAATTCTGCTGCCAGATTCGGATTCAGCGCATCTAAGTCCAGTGTTATTGACGGTTTAGGGGAATGGCGAAAATTATTTATTCATTTCCGAAATAAAGGGAAACAGAAAAACGAATTTTATATTCAAAATCAAGGATATTTTTCCGTCGAGTGCATGGCACAATTTCACATTTGCTTGTCTTCAGAGGTAGATTATTAAATCTCTAGAAGATTTACTTTCTAAAAACAACTTAAGGTCGTCCGCATCGAGCAAGTAATTGACATCAACGTATTCAATTGGAGTATTAATGAAAGTAACAAACAAGAGTGGCCCCAGAATGGACCCTTGGGGAACTCCTGAAAATTGACGAAATTTATCTAATTCAAATCAATTATACTGTACCATCTGGGGCCTGTCTTTTGTAAGTATTTTTCAACTTTTCACTCCTTACTTTTCACTTTTCTGTTTTCAAAATTCATATTCAAAAAACAGTTGGTAATCCGCATAAACTAGTGGAAAAAATTAAGGGATAAAAAAAATCTAAATTTTCGGCGATTTTTCAAACGGGGTACAATGACCTGTAAAAGACACACTTAACATTAGTCATTTTCTAGAAGACCCCTAAAAGTCCTATTTTTTACGATTTTTCAGTCATGTTAAGGATAAAAAAAAATTCTTTTCTAAAAAACTGTGCCAGGACCTTGTAGAGAATTCATTCAAGTTTCTGACACCCACCGTCGATTTTCTGTACAACCATTGGTTTCTGAGATATCGATGAACAAAGAGAAAATGATCCATTTTCATTCAAAGTTCGATAGCTCAGCGAGAAATGGTCGTATCGAGACCAAAAAAAAAA